TTAGGGATACAAGGGGAATTGAGCAAATGAATGTACGTCAAGCATGAACTACAAGCATTTTGCTGAAGTGTTTGAGAAAATATCAAGTTACTACAATGTAACTGGTTGCTATGGAAGTAAAATGAATGTTCGGACAGTATATGATCCTTGATGATTTCACGAAAAAAATATTTGACGAGCTGCATTTTTTGCTAATTTTTGTTTTCTGTTTCAATTCATATTAACTCATCTTTCAGCTGTTTACATACATGTACATTTTATCTCCATTCATTAAGGCTCAGAATTCAGAAGGATCCAACAAATTTAAAAAAAATGCCACTCATGATCCTTTAACTATCTGTCTAGTGAGTTGAAAATGTAGCTGAACATGAATGGGTAATCAAGCTCATTTCCATGACAATTATCCCCATGGCAATTTAACCCACAATGGCAGCCATTTTGAATTTAAATTGGTCAGATCAGTGAAATTTTATAAACTTCAATGTAAAAAAAATTACCATTCAGATGACTGACAATATTTTATTAATAAAAGTTATGAAGCATAGAAATGCCAAATTTAAATCAGATTTTAGTCTTTTGATGGACACACATGCATATAATCTTGACAGATCATTTTTTGATCATATTTGATTTGAGTGGAAAAATAGATGCTACACAGTGATTATTCTATTAATTTTATTTTACACAGTACCACTTCATGTTGCATTTTCAGATTGTCAATTGCAACCTTACATGCACTATGCTATAAATAAATTCAAACTGTAATTCACGCAATTAAATGAAAGTGGGAACCTATCAGATATTTGTTACTTTTTTCTCATAAAACCTTTATACATTATATTACTATTAACCTTTTACAGTGAAGGGCATAAAGCTGTGTTATAAATACGCTTTTTTATAAATACAAAATGTTAAATTACAAATTGACCAATCCAGAAATTTTAACGCAACTTTATTGTTAGTTTTAATTAATATTAATGAGTTAGTTCAACATTATCGATTCAGGAAGAACCTCTGTCAATAGAAGAGCACATTGGATTGTGGGAGAATTAATGTTTATCAACAAAAATGACGCACATGTGAAGTGAGACTACCACCGCATTTTAAGGTACAGTTTTATGCCCTTCACTGTATTAGTTAGACCACCTGATTTCTTGTAAAATAATAATAATCAGTTATTTTCTCTCTATTATTACAACCACCTGGCAGAAAATGACAAAACAGATATTTGCTTTGATGTTGTCTTGACTACAAACAAGTGTAAAATGCATTTGTACACCGACAGTACATTTCAATTTCTACAAATAATATATTCATTGTCTAAGTTGTGTAAGGAATCAGATACTCCATTATTTCAAATAATATATTCATTGTCTAAGTTGTGTAAGGAATCAGATACTCCATTATTTCAAATAATATATTCATTGTCTAAGTTGTGTAAGGAATCAGATACTCCATTATTTCAAATAATATATTGATTGTCTAAGTTGTGTAAGGAATCAGATACTCCATTATTTCAAATAATATATTCATTGTCTAAGTTGTGTAAGGAATCAGATACTCCATTATTTCAAATAATATATTGATTGTCTAAGTTGTGTAAGGAATCAGATACTCCATTATTTCAAATAATATATTCATTGTCTAAGTTGTGTAAGGAATCAGATACTCCATTATTTCAAATAATATATTGATTGTCTAAGTTGTGTAAGGAATCAGATACTCCATTATTTCAAATAATATATTCATTGTCTAAGTTGTGTAAGGAATCAGATACTCCATTATGCACTGTAAACTATAAATATTTGCCACTATCAATTTTCAAAATTTGAAATAATTTCTAAAGTGGTATTCGATTCTTTATTCACAAGTATGTGAAATATTTGATGATCTGAATTTGTGCAAATTGCAGGAAATAATTCTACAAGTTTCAATTATTGTTAGCATACCAGCATCCCAATAGAGTTCTGCCAACAAAGGGAATGTTTACTCCATTATTTGGCCAACAATCGTGCCATTTTCAGGAGTAATAGTCTACTCCCGTCAATGATCCCATGACTTCAGGCTTCACTTGTACATGTCACTACAAGTTCCATTAACTTTATAATTACAAGAAAATTGAATGACGATTTGCAATGGTTAATACTGTGTCTTCAGATTTTGTATTCAAACTATAAAGATATACGACATGTGGCAAAGTAAGGATGATAAGAAATTTATACTTTGTTACTTGCAGTGCATGTACAGTGGATCACATAAATACTATACACAAAATGACCAGTTTAACACTTGGTGTTCAGACGTTAAAATCAACTGATGTGTTGAATCATGTACTAATAGAAAATGCGTGATTGTTTGTTTTTTTTAATCATAGACTTCAATTATGAATGAATAAATTGCAATCAGATTTAAAAAATGATTTCCTGTTAGGGAAAATAAAAGCCTGCCAGGTCAAGTAGGCAGCTGTTTAGAATGATATAGCCTGGTATGCAATAATCAAGATTAACTCACAGAACCGAATGTTGTAATACTTGATCAGCTCATTAAAATGTACAACTAAAGTACATGTACTATTGCATTACTCTACTAAAGTCAGCTGACTCTGTTCTAGTTAGTTTATTGGTTATCGATGTATTTCCTGTTTTGTGTTTTCGTATTTCATCTTTCATGGACAAATTCTAGACACATCAGCAATTTATTATCATAATTACGGTATAGCCTAAAATAATTGCTGTAATATTTATAGCCACATATATCTAGTTTGGGGATAAATAGTGACCTGTAAAGCTGATAGGAAACTTGATGTGAGTTGTTTACAGGAAGACTTGAAATGAACTGAGCTCCATTGCTGCGGAAACCT